TACTGATAATGATTAAAATGTTAAACAGTAGTGACTGTCTATTTTTTGAAATAGAAAACTGGATAAAAATAAGGCTTTTATGAAAACACAGAGTAAACAAATGCTTAGAAATACACAAACCATTTATAATTGCTAAATTAGGCTGAAATATAAGGCGCAGAGTGATAATAAATTAAGAGCCGCTTGGGAGCCACAACAGAGCCGAGCCAAAAGAGCCGAATCTGTGAAAAGAGCCGGACTTCCCATCGTTACTAGCAAGCCGGTTTAGTGGAGAGTGGTTGGAGCTGACTACAATCTCTGCTGTGGGGGAAATGACGATGGGAAATGTTACGCTTCAAAACTTCAAAATAAGACGTTCGCAGGTTTCAGATTATGTCCAAAACAAATAAACAAAATCATTTATTCATATGTAAAATATCCTAGTTCAATTTTCTTATGTATATATGGATAAAATTCATAACATACTTTAATATAACACAACTTTTTAGCGCTTTTAGTATAAAAATCACCATATCCGCTTTGTTCATAAACATGAACCCTAGACTGTGTAGACCTGAATTCTTCACGTTTTTTGGTGTTTGGATGGATGAAAAACATTAAATTGTAACTGTGAAAAAGTAAATAATCTCCATACATCAGCTGGAAGTAACTGGGGAGCTAAGAGTGAAACTTTGCACATAATTTATCAAGCAATGACAAGATCCACTTTGGATTCAAAATGTGATTTAAATAAATGTGGAAATGAATAAATATAAATAATTGTGGCACTTGAGCATTTATTCAAGTGTGTAGTAGTTTGGTTTAATACAAAATAATTTTGGAATACCCTTTATATACCAACAAAGGTAGTAATGCTGGGCCCATGCTAAGGCCCTTATAGTTTCAGTTGATTAGTGGTGCATGATAATAAATGAGATCGCAGTTTTCCAGTTGGTAATCTACCTTTGCTAAGGCAAAAATAGAAACACTCCTCATAGAAGATGATGCAAATACAAACGGCCATGTGTTGTTTTAGGTTAAAGACATTAATAAGTCTTTTTTTAAACCCTGAGGTCTGTTAATTAGTAGCCCAGAGTATGACACATTTGTTGCTTTGACACTAAAGTACTGTATATCTGAACCCCATAATGGTTCAAAGCAGGTTTCAAGTATGTAATGTGAAAAGTGAAAATATATGATGGTATAAATATATAAAACTCACCCAAGTCCGACTACAAAAACAGAGTTTTTGAGTGGATGTTGACATGCAGTACTGTCTGACAAAGCAATGTAAAGGCAAAGAGCTGCTCCTCACAAAGCACTAGGACCTAGGGCAACGGATAGAGTGAAGCAAACCTGCTCCAGCCAACATTGGTTGTGGGCTAGGAGCAATCTTTGCTTCTGATTTATATAACATGACATCCCAGTCAACAATGCTACGTTGGGACAGGTCTGGGAACAGGTGGAGTGGCAGGCCAAAAGTCCAACCTTTGAACCCTTTTGAAAGAGCCTGAGGACAGAATCCAGAACCACTGTTGACCAACAATGTCCAAGGAGCAAAGAGAAAAAGGAATGGACAACTGAGGAACACTAAGAGATCTGAAAACATGATTGCTGTCAATGGCCTACCACACTCCTGAAAAAAATAGCAGTTTTTAAAGTTCATTTTATTTGAGTAAGCACCTATAAATGCCAAAAACCCTACTCTGCTCTTAGAAATACAGTTCCAGCTAATATATTATTCTAATCATGTGGGTGTGCTCTGCTCAGTTTCTGCATGGTAGTTTGGTATATACACATATTTATGTGTGTGGGTAAAAGTGAAGAATTTTTACTTTTATGTTCCGCAGAGGACCAAAATTTTACTTTAAGCAGTTTAGGGCCGATGCCGATCTTTTCTCTCAGGGCCACAAAACTGAAATAATCTGTCTGAGGAGATTCATTTGGTTAAGTGTCCTCTTTTAAATCAATTTTCAGCCCCCCTGGCCATTTGGAATCACACTGACATCATTATTAGTTTGAAAGTTATTCAACAAAACTATGTTTCAGTAATGTCCACTTTCTTCAGGTGCTAGCTCAGTAATGTTTGACGATATATCAAATCTACTAAATCAACAGCGATTCAGCTGGAATTGGATCTTAATTGCAAGTCTGTAGCATTGTTGTCTCAGAGTAGTGAGTTCCCAATGAGCCCTATAAATGTGAACATTCTGAATCACCACATATGCAATATTACTTGGACCCATATCATACTTTGGTGTGTGGGGATGTCATCATGCAGTTTTTTGTCCAAGCCTTGTAAGCATTATGTATGAAGTTAGAAGCAAAAACATATAATATATAGACTGGCCCCATCTCACAATGGTGAAAAATCCTTTAAAAGATTCCAGGATCCAGATGACAATCCAGATCAACACTAAAATCTAATGGGTTGTTCTGTGACCATACCCCACCTTTTAAAAAATTTCATCCAGAGCCATTCATTACTTTTTGAGTTGCCCTGTGAACAAGCCAACCAACCAACAAATAAATGCTGGTAAAAACATTACCTCCACCTTGGTGGAGATAATCATGCAATGAGTAATCAGACAGCTGGTGTTAGGAAGTCCCAGGATGTGTTGCTATGTTTAAAAGGATATGTTTTAACTGCTTTACAGTTCAACCCCCTGAGAGTGTGAGCAGCACTCCCTGCAAACCAGGGGCAGGTCAAACAAGCCACTAAAGCAGTTGCTTTGAATGCAGTCTTCAGGATGGCAAAATCTATGAAAGTCACTGCAGACTGGAAAATAACTACAACTCTTGTTTAATTGACCAAATATGTTTTAACAGTCTTGCTAATGGAGCCCAGCAGGCAGAGTTCAGCTTCTAGTTATGGTCCTTCATCCACTGCTCAATCCACTGCATTATCTGTGCCAGGTTGCTCTCGAGATCCTCAGGAGTATTGCTGGGCAGCTGGTGGACAATCTCCTTGCTGTAGGCCTCCATGGCCTCCTCGTAGATGGTCTGGAAGATCTCACACTGCACGTTGTCCTGCAGCTTCTTCCCTGTGTAACCCCTGTCAGACACACAGAGGACAAGAGTCCACCTTAGACTCGGGGAGGAAGACAAAGACAAACAGGAACAACTCTGCTCATGAGGGGAGTGTCTTTCTAATTTAGCAAAATATCATAAAGTTTAAAAAATAGAGTGGTGGGGAAGGCAGGAGCTTTATCAAACAGCCACAGGAGGTAGAACAGGTTGTCTCTTAAATAGAGGGTTGGCTGTTCGATCCCCAGCTTCTCTGGTCCACAGGTCGAAGTGTCATTGTGCAAGACACTGAACCCTGAGTTGCTCCCATTGACGTCACTGGTGTGTGAATGTGAATGTTTGTGACCGTTTACTATTCACCACAGTTCCTGCAGTACAGTGTAGATGTACAGACTGACCCCCAGGTTGGAAACCACTGCTCCAGTTTATGGAAAAACAAAATTTAAAATGGCTAATGGTATGCCACTCTTTATTCAGTAACATATGCCAAAACTTCAGTGCTATACCAGTTGTGTTCCACTAACAAATACCACTTTTCATTGACAGGTGCCATGTAAAACTAGTTTATAATGTAATACTGGAAGATAACCACTTCTTGTTGGCAGCTCTTTCCAATGAACACTAGACTTCTGTGGTATAATGACCGACTCCAAAGGAGAGCTGCACAAGCATTCTTATATGCCTAGACCATCTGTTTATGCATAAATGGCAAATAAAAATCTTGACTTGACTTGATAATGTCAGTGACTGTAGTCAATATACAGACTAGCCTTTTATGATTAATATAGTGACCATGTTTGAATAACAAAATACAATTTTCACAAAGTTTGCTGTTGGCAAGTTAAAGCAACATGTTGCTGTGTTAAACAGGCAAATACCACTGATTTGATCATTTCCTACCTTCACATGTCTAGCCACCATGTCAGCTAACTTGAGTTTTTTTGGTGGAACATTCAGTGATGATCTGTTTTAAGTGGCATATGCCATTCAGCCACACCACAGCAGAGGAATATGCCAGAAGGAATTGGTATGTGTGGGTAAAGAGCAAAGCTGCATTACTGCATTGCCTGAATGCAAATTGACCTTAGTCAAAAATTTAATGAGTGTGAGAGGCACCAGCTGAAAGTATTGTCATTATTTTGGGTTTATCTCAGTCAAAGATGCAAAGAACATTGTCCTCCATTGTAAATTTTGTGTCCCGAGGTAGGGACACATATGTTATTAATAAAGAGACAAGACAAATTCATTCATCTAATGAACTACTTAGCAAAGTCATAGCTATTGCCAGGGATAAAAGGCCTGACTCAGTAATATGTGCATAGAAATGTTCTTAACTTGTGCACAAAGTAAGTGCCCTTACTGTCAGATTCATGAAATATGTGCATTTGCCATGTCTACTTTTTCCCCTCTGCTACATTTAGTGAAGTCTAATCTCCACAGTCAGCTGTTTAAAATCACACAAGTCCTGTTGTTTAATTTATAGGCTACATAAAAATGCGATTTCTTCCTGATGATATTACATGAAAACTATTTTTGTTCGGTACATTTGTGTTGTTGGTCGGGCCTGGTAAAGACTTTGTCCTGCTGAGAGACAGACAGCTGTTCTGATGACTGTAAAGACACAGAACACACCGCTCATATCTCACTTTCACTGTTTTCTCAGCTACTGTATATACATTTCACTGTCTTGCACTGTGACTGCTATTCTCTCATGACCGTATCAAGGACATAGCTTATCCATGCTTCACACACACAAACACAGGGCAAAGTAAAGGAGATGGATTGAGTCAGAGAGACCTGAAGACAAAGTTACTACATGCAAAAAAAAAAAAAAAAAGACAAACGTTGATGAAGAAAACCAGGCAAAAATATCAACACTTTTCAAAAGAATGTTACTTTTACAGTTCTCATAGAAGCCCTCTATACAAAGACTTTACTGGTCAGTTTACTCTTCCATCACATTCCAGCTGTGCATCGCTCATAATTAACCTAAACAAATGCCGCTTCAGAGCTGTCAACTAAAACCTGGAATCGTACTGGAATCATATTAATTCAGTTTCAGCACACAAGAAGTAAAATGAAAATTACCTGCTCTCTAGCCGTATGTACAGCTGGGTGTTGTCTGTGCGGAGGACAATGACGATGTGGAACCATCGTTCAGGGAACAAGTCACAACCATGATAATCAACAATCACACCACCTTCCACCATCTTTTCATCCAGCTCATCCACCACCTGCAGGATCACAACAAATCACAACATTTGACATCCACCCAACCAGAAAAATTTAATTCATGTTAGTTCAACATTTTTATGAACACATCAGTTAACAGAAGGACTAAGCTACAATCCCCTCATTTATGGTGATAGCCTATAATTTGTCTGCATACAGTGCAGAGGAAGGAAATGTGAACTCTTGTCACTTCTCTCCAAGATGTGAAGACCACCAGTGGTTATGTTGTTTAAAACCTGACCAGCACCACACTGGCAGTGCGTTTCGACATTTGTGCAGTAAAGAATCAAGTTCAATACTTCTATGAGGAATTTAACTCACCCTGTCCTCATCCAAAATCGGGCACTGGTATTCTTCATCATAACCATCATAAAGTTGTCCTAGGGAAAAAGAATCGTGATCAGTAGCACAGCCTCTGAATGACTGCATTTATTTGCCTACTGTCTATAAAATCTAAACGCAACCTATTCAAAAGCTGAGTGAAATGCCAAAGTAGGACCAGCTATGACAGCACAAAGACAACAGCCAATAAGGGCTTTTATTTGTGATTCAGCA